GCGGAAGGCCTAGGGGGTCCCAACCACCACGCCTCGGTTACAAGGGGAATGTTCCCCATGGCACCTGGGTGTTTTGTAAAATGGGAATCGCTCGAGGTCCTAAAGTGGCCAGTTGCTTATTCTAATATCCTAGCAGCTCCTGAGTCGTACACGTCGTTGGGCTCGCTAGGCTAGCTTTCGTTCACCCGCCTCTCAAGTTCCTTTTGGTTTCTCCTGGGTCCGTTTTGGGGGGTTCCCTTCGTCTCAACCCCGGAAGCCGGAAGGAGGATGTGGCGCATGGCCTCGCCAAGTCCGTCGTAGAGGCAGGTTCCAAAATTCGGGGCCGGGGGTGGGGTATAGTCAGGCCCTGTTTGAAGACTATGTTGGTGAGTTGCCCAGGAGTTTTTGACAGTTGGAACCACCGAACCAAAGCGGCTGGTGGAGATAAATGCCCACCTAAATGGTGTCCACAGAGCCTCTGCACTGTGACTTCTGGATGTCGTGCGGGATGGGCTCGACAAAAGCAGTTGCACCGTCGAGAGGCCGACTTGACTTTAACGCCGCGTGGCGTTTGCGGGCGTTTGTGGTGGTTCTTGCACGCCTTCGAACAACTTGGGCCACTCTCCAAGTCCACTCCTGCAGCCGAAGTTTTAACTTGTTCAGGTTATGCCCGCCACAGATTTCAATTGGGGGACCTCGCTGTGACCAGACCTCTGGCCATCGACTACGTGGTACGAAGGCAACAACAGGGCCCCGAAAGATTCCGAGGCTGCCACGGATTGCTTTTCCAATTTCGTCTGGAGAGAGCGGTTCAAGTTGCCAGGGGCTCAACCACTTGCCGCAAATTCAGGGAATCGACAGCTCACTTCCCATGTTCCTGGACTTGCCTTTTGGGTTTGGGCCATAGTGGCAAACCAAGGGTTTTCACTTTTGGCCAATGAAGCCACCTAGGCAGCGAGACGAAAAGTCCACATTGTACAGATAACCACCCCGGCGGGACAAACCGCTTTGCTCCGTGAGGTGAAGTTTGCTGCATGTGCTCAGGCGGGCTGAGACGGGCCTTGGGAAGTGTTCCAAATTGGCTGTGGGTCAAAACCAATGCTACCATTTTGGGGTATGTGCACCACCCATCTTAGTCCACTTTAGTGGGGATTGGGATGTTCACTGGGACGGGCTTTTGACCCATGGCCATTGATGTTTTCGTCTGTAGAAATCGAGCTCAGCGATTCGGTTTATGTTGGCTCACCATGATGAGGGTCCTTCACTTGGGTCCAATGATCTTTTTTCAGGGGTTCGATTGGTGGCAAAAAGTTTTCGCAGATGTGCTAAGCCTAATTTATGGTTGCTCAATAGCTTGATGTTTCGGGTTCACCCAAACAGAAGCCGAGAGGGGATGGGCAATTTCTCAACTTGTCAAGATCCTTTGGGTCAAGGATTTGGAAAGGCGACCAATGGGTCCTAAGACTGCGGACCCCGAATGCTCCCCGAATGCTGATTCAAGGGAAGCCGATTGTTTGTTGCAATTCCCTGTTGTTGAAACATCCCGGATCAGCGGCTCTCGCATAGTGGGCCAAAGCTGTGTTGAGTTCGCAACAAAGAAAAACAGCTCCTTCAAATAGTGTCTCCGTCGGCCAAAACATTGTTCATTTTTTTCTGACCGGATGGTCAACTTGAGTCGGAAAGTGGTGTCCCTTGCCCAAGTTGCCCTCAGCCAAAGCATGTCCTGTCAAGGGGATGGAATTTTTCTAGAAGGGTACCACCGTTTGCAAATTCGCCAAGGGGGGAATGAAGTATAGAGAATACCCTCAACGGGGAATACCCTCAAACGGGCTGGTGGACAAACATCCCCATTGCGAGGATGTCAAGCGGTCCACCAGCTTTCTGATTCGCTTGCTTCACGGCTGGTCATGGGCCCTTAGGCTCAATGTGGGGGTTCCTACGAATGGAACCATGCCAAACATATTGTAGATGGACAACATAGCACCGCTTAGGTGGTTTCTGGCGGTTTTTTTGGGGGTTCACTGATTCACCCATCCCAACTGGTGACCGGGGTCGATCCTTAGGTGGAAAAGAACAAGGGCTCGGACAGCGACTTCACCATCACCTTGAAGACCCTGGGCGCAAGCAAGGTCCGGGATCTGAGGGGGGGGATGTGTTTGAATAAGAAGCCACTGATTTTCCGGGGCCCTCAATTTGACGCTCTGCTTTCAACCAGGTTCTGGAGTACGTTTCTGGACCTCACAAAACGGGTGTAGTGACCTGACCCATCAGGAAGGTTGCTTACATCGGGTGAAGTTCGTTCTGACCTGCACCTCACCAGATGTGCCAGGTCCGAAGATACCTTTACTTGAAGTTACTAAGGAATGGTCATGGACCCCTTGTTTGTCCAACCATTGCAAAGATTCCTATCACAGAAATCATGACCATGGGCCACAGAGTTTTGACCATAGAGCCTTTCTGAAAATCTGGGATCCCTCCGCATTTCTCTTTCGTGATGTACATCATCCATGTGGGGAGTCTTGAGGACCGGCTTCCTTTGGCTGTTGATTTCAGTGGAACCAACCGCGGGTCACGCGCAGAGTCCGGGTGAGGGCCTTGAGCTGGACATCCGAGACCCAGGGGTTGCTTTGTTGTCGTCCTTGGTTCAAGTGCCCATTGAATTCCTTTCTTGGGCCTTGAAAGTGCAGTTTGGAGCTGTTCTTACGGGAAAACTTTACTGTTTTCTCCTGCGGCCACTGGAGGTTTGAGCTCAGAATTCAAGGAAAGCACTTTGAGGCTTGCGCTGGGCCCAACTGGTTTTTGCCAGACGAATGGGTTCAAAATGGGTTTCACGTGATGCATGAGGTGTTCAGTTGGAAGGACAAGCTGGCAGTTGTGGAGAAAAGGAATGTGCTTCCAGGTTTCGCGTGGGTCCCAGCTGGGATGAGGATCACTGTTTCACTTACCTTCTCAGCCCTAACTCGGTTTTCCGGTTGCTCGGTGTCTTCATTTGGGTCCCATGACTTTGTCCTGCGTTCCCTGAAAATCCCAAATCGCGGAGGCGCAGGTGATGTTGGAGTTCGGGGGCTTGAGCTGGGAATGGCACCCCATCCAAGCCAACGAGAAGTACCTCAAGTGGCTCGAGGACAACGTGGAGGTGCGGCCCCACGCGCGGAGCCCAGAGACTCATTGGTGGTTTCCTTTAAGGCGACTGGGTTCATTCCCACGTTCCCCTACTGAGCACCAGCAAGAGAGCATTGACATAGGAAAGCTGGCGGTCGTGATATCCAATGAGGTTTGCGAACCAGTTCTTTCTCTTTTTTTCTGTGTGGTCCGTTTGGGGTTCGGCATGCGAAAGGTTGAACGAGCTGGAATCGCACATCTTGAAAGAGAAACACCCAAAGGCTTTAGGTGTTTGACATGCACACGACCTTTCCAGCCCAGGCCGAACTTTGAGGAAAGCTGAGTCGCTTAGTGCAAGAATTCGCTGGATATGCAACTGGTCGCGAACTCCGCGCATTCCGAGTGGAACCGTAGCATTCCGGCGCTGGGCTTGTTTTGCGAAGGCGCACACAAACTACGCCCAGCGGCCAGGAAAAAAGGTCACACGTGTTGCGTCCCTACTGCTTGAATCATGCTAGCTTGTGGCAGCCCACAACCCCCACGCAGAATGAGGCATGATTGCGGTGGAGAGCTTGCTCATCCGGTCAGAGTTGAGAAGTCGCCCAGACTGGTTGAACATGCGAAACCTGAATCCCCTATGTAGAGTGGAACGCGTTTTGCAGCTTTCATTCAAGCGGATCATTGGTCTTGTTACCTGGCTGGCTGCTACATAACCCGACGGCTTTTCTACCTTCTTAATGGACACCACAAGGCGCCTAGCTAATGTTAAATTTTCCAGATGCTCTGTTCGCAGCACCAAGGTTATCCATCCACTACATGTTTTTAGATGTTTGGGCGATTTCAGCAAGCGATCCCAGCTTGGGATGGGCGCGATTCAAAGGGCCGAGGCCTTGGGATGGGCGCCAGCAAACCTGAAGGCTGTAGCTTTCCTTCTGGTTTCTCATGGTTGTCGTTGGGAAACATGTTTCCCATGTTTGCTTGTTGTGGTTTAGTGGTTGAAATCCAACCACTTAACTACTAAAATTTGAATTTGTGCTCCCCTTCCCACGTCAACCAAGTTCTCTCCGTGCAAAACACGCCAACGGCGATCTCCTCAGACCCCGCAGCCATTTGTGATCAGCTCCGGCGGGCTTCATAACATCCGCGAAGTCGGAAATGAACGAGTTGTCATCCAACTGCCAGGATTTTACACGTGTATAGTGTATGTTGTGTGTCTTTATACATATATATATACATATATATATATATATGTTTGCATTTTTTTGTGCAAGGGGCAAGTATGGCTGTTTACCTCGAGACCCTTTTCATGGGTCTCAAAGGGAGATGAGATTTGACAGCCGAGCTTGCTGGCCTCTCTGTGCGAAGCGAAAGCTAAGAGAAATCACTCCAGTCGTCAGCCTCCCCTCCCCAAAGCAAAAAAAAGAAGAGACACAAGAGAAGAGAGGACAAAAACAACAGAATGGTCTGTGTCAAAGTAGGAGGCAAAAATGGTGAGGGGGTTGTTTTAATTGTACTTCGAACCAAATGAAAAGGGGACCCTCGACGAAAGTCGCCATTCGGAGAAGCTCCACGTAAGCATCACCTGGTTGCTCAGTTTGAACGGGACATAGGACTATCCTCGGGGGACGGATGTCTCAGCGCTTTCCCACCCTCCCTCCAAAAACACTTTTCAAGGGACAAGCACACATCTAGTGGACAAAGATCCACACATTCCTCAGCTCTCCGGAACACAAAACGCACAAAAAGAACACGGCAACAACATCTGGGCAAGCCAACTAGTCCTTCCAGCCAACCGAAAGCCCGAAAAACAACTTGGTTCCCATCCCCATAGCTTTTCTTGGCCTTTTAGTCTTTGTAGTTGGATTTCCAATCGTTGGATTTCCATTTTTTTCCCCCACGAAAGCTTAGTCACCCCTTGAGCGGAGAAAACGGCCTGCCCCCCACCCCCCTCCCTCGGCCATGGCCACAGCCACCCCGGAGCTGGAAGAGAAGCTCCTGAGGCGGCGCCAGCCCGGGACCTCAGGTGGTGGGCTCGTCCCGAATTGTTTTTTGCCGGCGACCGCTGCGGAGTTTGGCGATCGGGAAGGAGAACTGGAATCCTAGGTCCGCCAGTGCCCCTTGACCGATTTCTTGGGGGTTGTGGGTTCCCCTACTAAAATAGACTACCGGAAAAAATGTGCACCGTTGTTCTAACCTCACTGGAAAACCTAGGGAATGAACCCTGCTTGGGTTCCCGAGGCAACCACCAGTTGGATGGTTTTGCTTGCCATTCCATGTCTCATTCCCTACAAATCGCACCAGCAAGTTGTTTGAGTTGCCAAACCCCGGTACCCCCAAAGTCGGTTGGCCTTTTTTGCCAAGGGAGACCAAAAGGAACATCTCAGCAATGTGTTTCATTTTTCGGGGGTCCCCTAAAAAAGGACACACCGACTGAGATCTTCAACCAACATTAGTAAAATATAGAACCATGGTTTTACCTGTTACAACCATGGTTATAACAATGGTTATACCAAGTTTAGTAAATAGGTTATATCCATGATAAGGGTCCCCAATTACAACCCTGGTTATAACTGGTGTACCTGGGGTGATCGTCTCCTTACAACCAACGTAACCTACTAACATGTTTATAAGGGGGCGATCACTGATCGCCCCAGTTACACCGGTCGCAACCATGGTTATAATATGGTTGAACGTCCTACCCACATGCACCGGGAATCGTGCCAGCTACTCCACCCACCAGTGTCTTTTTTGGAGTTACCCCTCTGTGGTTTCAAAGGAAAAGCAAAAAAGGAACAAGGAAGCTATTGTGGGGCCCACCAAGAAACAACCGACACCCCCTGGTGCAACCTGTTAACCTTTCGGAAAACGATGGGAATCACATTCAATCTGGGTCCAAGACAGTTCACCCGGCACATCCAAAGGTAGCAGTTGAAACCCTGGGTGTACCTTTATTGCAGAAGCCTTGCTCGGAATCACGGAAACTGTTTTAATTTGGGGTCGGGAAAGCGATCAATTTCCCGCGAACGATACCAAAGGGATGTTGTTTGATGCGAAGCGGCAAAATGAGAGGTGATTGTTATGTTTTGTCACAGACCTCTATCCAAGAACCACCCTCTACCCAAGAACCACGACTAGTTCCAGACACCGCACTTCACTAAAACTCCTGAAAAACGGATGGGCTCGCTGGCACTCCAGCCGGACGTGGTACAGCTGACTGGCCCGTGTTGGTCCATTTCACCAAAGCCATGACTCGACTTGGCGAGTCATCTCGGCCAAGGCCCCGGGTGACTTCACCCAACTAAAGTGGCTCTCAGTGCTTGGATCCCCGAACCGTCAAAAGTGGCTGATGGTTGCCTGAATCCCGAATTCCAAATTCTGGTGTCCACCAAAGGGCCCCCAAAAATTAAAATGAGTGCCTAAATCAGACGGGTGCACTGCTGAATGGTCCATGGTTTCCCGGCTCATTTCACTACCAAATCCTTTTTTTTCAGACAAGCCCTTTTTAGTGGCGAACACAAAGCCCAGCCTTGTTCTGATCTATCCACTCAAGCGAGCCTTAGAAAATGCGTGACTTTGTGCGGGGATTCATCTCTTAATCTGCAGAGTCAAATCTTAATCTTGTTGGGAAGCTCTTCAGGGCCCCCAATCAGGCCAGCCACGACAATGAAAGCTGCAATTGCAAATGCGCCATGGTTTAGGGCAAAGCATTTGTAATCTCACCAAGCGGACTTCGACACTTGCCACCGTTTCCTACTGCGCTTGATATGAGTTGTACAACTGCCATAGTCTACATGGCAACACTACCTATGCTCATTTGCAGTAGAGCCCGGTTTAGCTGGGAAAGCATAGTGACTTTACCAGGTTGTTGGTTTGCGACCGCGTGATGAAGGTTCTGAATCGTTGCAATTTCCCTTGCTGAGTAAAAGGATAATAATAAGCGAGGGCCAAAACCTGGGTCGGTGAATTTACGGGACGACACCAACCAGAAACAGAAGAATGGCACCAACTCACTTGAGTCTATACGTCACGACTACTCCTTCAAGAAAAAATAGTACTTTGGCCGCGCATAGAAAGGATCAACCTTTTCCGCAACCCTAGTCTGCGGGTGGGTGTGCCCCCTCATTGCATACCCCGATGCGTAAGCAACCCTGAACGACGCTTGCAGAGCAGACTTTTGCAGAACATGCTTTCGTTGGCTACCTGCGCAGAGTCAGCTTGCAGACACCTTTCTATGAGACGGAAAAGCGAGTCCTTTCACTTCCGCAGCTCCTGCTCGAAACTCGCAACTTTTCAGTACGGCGCCAGTACAGTCTAGCACAGATCAACAAAATGCATTCCCGGAGCTCCAGGCGCAAATATTTGGTACAAGTGTAGAAAGCAAACAGCTCCGGCTCAAAAGTTGCAACTGTGTCTGTGCAAGTCAGGTGACAGCCAAAAAGGGGTCGCTGGACCTGGGCCGGGGATGTGTACGCAACGATGTACCCCCCGTATACATACCTTCGCAACAAGATTCACGCCGTGTCGGGCGTTAGATGTCCTCAAAGCGTCATGCCCAGTTGTGTCCTCCAGTGTGTTTGCACGGCTGTGCTTGGCCGGCTTGCTCCAAAGTAACCTGAGCTTCGGTCCCACATGTAGTGTTTCCTGATCTGATTTCCCCTTTTTCGGATTGGATGAAGGGATGTCCTGTTGGTCGCGGATGTTCATCGAGTCGCCTTTGGGCACCGTGTTTTCCTGGTGCGCATCCAATCTTAGAGTCTCGTGTTGTGGTGTTTCTTTCTTTGCCCGAGGGTTCCCGGCTGCGCAGCAAGGCCTTGGGCCCCAATGGTTCATAGGCCATCCTACCATCGGCAGGAAGGTGGAGCAAAACTATGTGCCGCAGCCAAAGAAGGGGAGCAAAGCTTGGTCAGCCGAGATGGCCAAGGCAAGATTTGCGTCGAGATTCGGTGTCACATACGGCGGTTTTCCTTAACCGACCAAGAACCTGAGAATGGGTGGCTTTCCAGTGTGCACTGGGAAAGCCTATTTGTGGTGAAGATTGTCTGAAAAGTTGAAAAGCAATGAGAACCAGGGGTCAACTTGGCCGCGTTTTAGTTGTAAGGTTTGACTTTTGGAGGGAACGTTCGATAATTTCGGAGCCTATTCAGAGGAACCCTTGTAAAGATGAGTTCCTTACAGGGGCGCCACCCTGAGGTTCTTTTGACTAATCCAGGTATCGCGAACAAAAACAAGGAACGGTACAGGCTCGAAGGTTTGGGTTGGGACCGTTGCTGGGGTGGATTCTATCGAGCCGCTGCCTTAGGAGCAAGGAAGTTTGCTCGAAGTCCCAGGCTGCCCCAACAGTGCTGGCCCTTTTTTGAAAGAGGTCCACAAAATGTCCCCTTGCCAAACGCAGGGCTCCAAAGTTTGGGTTCGGTATGGGCCATGATCTTTCATTTGCCGAAAAGCAAGCCAGAAACGGGATGTTTGTTCCGTGGCTTTCTCGGACCTCAGCACCTGGTCGTGTCACTGGTCTTTTGCTGCTTGGAACTCCCCGCCCAGACGGTGTCGCAGCAACGGCGTGCTTACAAAAGTGAAGCATCCGAAGGCGCGGTGGGCGCCTAGCTGGGATAAGGCCTTGCTGTTTGTTTTATTTACCTGATAGCATGTTTGAAACGCCACACTATGTTGTTGGGCAAATGTCTTGTCCTGTTGCACCTTGGTAAACTCGGCGCGAACCTTCCACCACGCAAAGCCATGCCGCCAGAGACATGACCTGGCACACGCTTTCAAGATACATGGCCACCTATGGACGCTGGGAGTCTGTGTCAAGTACGCGCAAGAAGCAAAGCTTGGAGCCTGGGAAGGTTGACAGGGGGAATGATGCTGGGTAAGTTCCAAGCAAAGCAAGTTTTGGGTGTTCTCAGTGGTGAGAAGAGATAGGAGGTGAGCAAGGTTTAAGTTCGATTAGGGCCTTTCAGGGGCATGGCCCCATTTGACCTTGCCGGCTCGCAAGATTGCTGCTGGGAGGCCTTTGCTTTGCCGCCATTCCAAGGGGGCTAATGTATATAGCATATAGCGTTCCCCGAAATGAAGATGGGCAGAACTCCCCCAGGAAAGTGGCATCCACCAAAGCTTCCCCAGCACAAGCCAAAAATACATATCTTGAGAGTTTCACTTCGGACCCGTAGCGTCTTCCTAGCCACAAGCGACTTTGCTGGTTCAATGCACAATCAGTTGGAATGAGCCGGATGAGCCATCTCCGGTTTCCCTTAAGGCTGGGTGGTTCCCCCTCAACAGCGATCCGGTGCTCAAAGTAGCATCAACAAATCAACTGGTCCCTTCGGTCAATGGCCTTCAGGATCAAGCGCCGGTTTGATGGGCAATGGGCAAAACTTGAAACGACCAGCCTGGTTTCGCGTGAAGTTGAAGACCAGAAGGAGCTTTAGACAATAGTTCAACCCGTTGCTTGACCGACGGGATTGAAATCGCCCAGCCAGCAACTCTGCCTCTCCGCTGTTCAGGCAACGGCAACCCTCAGGACGTTGAGGGCGTTGGGCTATCGCCCAGGCGACGGGGGGAAGGAGGGGGAGCACCAGGAAGGTTTCGAGCCCTTGTTGCCCGGTGGTTTGGAATTTGAACTTCTGGCTCTTGTAGAGAGTAAATGGGAAACCACCCCCGGACTGGTCTGAACGGAGCACATTTGGCATTTGGTGCTCAGCAGTGCCCTGGTGTGCAATTGAGTGGTTGGTTCAGTGGCTCCCTTTTTCCCTTTGCGGCAGAAAGCTTCTCACAAGACACGTGTTTTACAGCAAGCAAGCCCGTAGCGCCGTGAACCATGGGGCGCAAGTGCGTCTTTTGCGGCGGCTGCATCGGGGGAGCTAGCTTGGTCCTGTCCAAGCAGGAGTTGGAAGGGCTGCGCCGGTTGAAGTTGCGGCTCCGTGCAGCCTCCCGCTGTGCGGCGCTGGGGCCGTGAGAGGCTAAGAAGGTGAAGCTGATCTCCCGGCTGTGCAAGACCTGCAAGCCCCTGAAGAGGAGAAGACGCAGAAGTGGACTGGGGCCATCACCGTCACTGCGCGGCGCCTGTACGATCGAACCCCACAGCTTCAGACACACCAGTTGCCGCGGTGCGTGAAAGCTTTGCCACAGTTGGTCACTGGTTGCAGCCTGGTTGGACTCCTGTGATTGACCGGCAGTTTCGCCTGGCTTGGGCCCCAATGGGTGTGTCAATCCAGAACCATGCGTGACCTTTTCTACTGGTTGCTCGGTGGATTTATGGTTTATTTATGCCAACCTACCAACTTCGTCCTTGCCAGACAACAACTCATGAGCCCATGGACCAACCTCGAACTGCTCCTTTCGCCAACCTGAAGTCATAGGCCCCGAAAAGTATTGTTCCATTCCAGTGAATATGTGTTGCCTATATAGCTGTGGGTCAAAGCAATGGTGCCATGTTGGGGTAGGTGCACCACCCATTCTACAACCACTTACTTTAGTGGGGATTGGGATGTTCACTCGGGGGTACGATTTGGATTTTGACCCATGGCCATATTGATTTCAAGGAGGCGTACAACCAGTCGACCTTCCACCCACTTGCATGGCACCCACTGGTCTCTTGAAGATGGGTTTGACCTTCCAAGAACTTCTTGTTCTTGTTCTTGTTCTTGTTCTTGTTATTATTCTTGTTCTTCTTGTTCTTCTTGTTATTCTTGTTCTTTTTGTTACTCTTGTTCTTCTTGTTCTTCTTGTTCTTATTGTTGTTCTTGTTGTTCTTGTTATTATTGTTCTTCTTCTTCTTCTTCTTCTTCTTCTTCTTCTTGTTCTTCTTCGTCTTGTTCTTCTTCGTCTTGTTATTATTCTTGTTCTTCTTGTTATTATTGTTCTTCTTGTTCTTCTTGTTCTTCTTGTTCTTCTTGTTATTCTTGTTCTTATTCTTATTCTTCTTCTTATTATTATTCTTCTTCTTCTTCTTCTTGTTCTTCTTCTTCTTCTTCTTCTTCTTCTTGTTCTTCTTCGTCTTGTTCTTCTTCGTCTTGTTATTATTCTTGTTCTTCTTGTTATTCTTGTTCTTCTTGTTCTTCTTGTTCTTCTTGTTCTTCTTGTTCTTCTTGTTCTTCTTATTCTTATTCTTATTCTTCTTCTTCTTCTTCTTCTTCTTCTTCTTCTTCTTCTTCTTCTTCTTCTTCTTCTTCTTCTTGTTCTTGTTGTTCTTGTTGTTCTTGTTGTTGTCGTCGTCGTGGTCGTTGTCGTTGTCGCTGTCGTTGTCGCTGTCGTTGTCGTTGTCGTTGTCGTTGTCTATTTTCTGTCGGAGCTTCGCAGGTGTCAACTTCATGTTGAGTGGGCAACTTGATACGGCTCCAGGTCGGCTGTTTGATGGTTTGGCAGCTGATGATGAATATTTCCTGTCATCTTAGGAAGTCTGTTTAGACAAAGTGTCAAGGCATCAATTAGTGCAGAACACCGACCGGGTCGGAAGCCGACAACAAGCTAGCTTTCGCTGGCCAGAACCTGCAACTTGTTGCAGGGTACCATCCCAAATTAGATTGAACTCAAGAGTAGCTTGAACGGGTCTTGCGACATGCTGTATCCTCGGGAGCACCTTGCTCCGACATCATCGAATTGCCAAACATGCAGGCACGCATGGATGTCCAAAGCAATCTGGCTGGCATTCGTATTCATAAATCTGCGGCGGCTTAGTGGCGTTTAGACTGCAACTGTAGATATCGGGGCCCACGGGTCGCTTCCTTGGGTTTCTCTTGAAACCAAGCCAGAAAAAGCACACGCTGTACGTAACTCAGGGTCGATTCTTTGGTTGCCTCCGAGTTGTATGCAAACGATCCCTTGGTTGCGGTCCTTCAAGAGATAGCCTATAGAAGAGCGCAACCTGGGGGAACTGGTTGTGTCTTGCATGAGAAGCGTCAGAGAACCACACAGGAGCAAATAGCCCCCAGGGTCGAACAAGGTCTAAGAGTGTCTGTGGGGGCCCTCCGTCCTTTGGGCTATTCGGTAAAGTCTGGAGACAAGCAACAACTGGAACCCTGAGTCACCCCCACTCCCCAGCACTTGTCCAAAGCCCTTTGTTCCCCGCGCGGGAGACACGCGTTGATCCAGGAACACAGATAGCTCAGCGCCCGGCAGACCCTCGCGAGGCGCTCTCGGGATCAAACCAAGCCACATGGAGAAAGAGGGGAACTATTACGAAGCAAAAGTCTTTGGTATAAGTTTAGAATAGAAAGAAAAAGGTTGAGAATTGCTATAAAGTCTAAGTGATTCAGTTGACAATGGCCAAGAAAATTTGGAGTAGAAACAACAAGTTGGAGAATGGCTAATTTGACAGGCCTCTGATTTCGAGTAAGCCTTGCAATGGCTATCCTGATACTCCTTTGCAAATTCTCGTGGCTCTCAAATCGGGAGTCCATTGGTTTTTTGTCGATTTGTTTCTCAGCGCCTGAGAGGTGGAATGGGTGGGACAAAAAGTGCTAGGTTGGCAACGAGAGAAAACTGTTGTGCACCTTTCCGCGAATCGAGTGTCCATGCTGAGCTGGGCACTTTTGCTGGTTGCATCCAACTCAGAGCACTTTTTCCTTACCCTCACGAACATGGCGCCCGAGGGAAGCCGGCCGAATCGTTCCCAGGTTTTTTCCCCTTTTTTAAAGGCCGAGTATCAGGTTTCATGCTAGAGACATGTGTGGTTTTCGTCCTCACTTCAACTCAGAACCAAGGAGAGCTCCCCTTGCAGCTGGCCGATTTACTTGCTGATTTTGAGTTCAATTCCACCGTACCACGAAATGGGAAGCCTTGAGATGTTGCGAGTAACCTTCAACCATGCTTGGTCCCCAAGACGAAGAATCCAGTGGGCGTTTCTTGCTTCAGGTTCGTGTGTCCTGGTCCTTTGGGTGCTGGGTCAGTTGGGGGGCAAAAGACATTTGAGCCACAATCAAAGCCCGGGTAGATGACGGTTCGCAAAAGATAGTCCGCACCCACAAATGGGTGCAGCCGCCTTTTCAAGTCACATGGACTAGTGGATCACGACGATTTTAATACCAGTCGGTTTTGACTGGGACTAATTTGCTGAAGACAGGTTAAGCTCGTCACTCCCATTGCGCTTGGGGCAGGCCTGACCGCGGGCTTGAGCATCCTCACTCTTTCTGTGCTGGCTGCACGCTTACAGACCCGCTCGGTCAAACGTGTTGGGGTCAAAATGTCCAGTAGTTTGTGGTCAGACTCGGCCGTTTGCCCTGGAGGACTCGAAAAAAATATCCCCCAAAAAAAACAACCAGGGGAGTCTTTAATTGCTCCATGGTCATAGAGGGGGAGAATCCGCTCCCAGCAAGAGAGCGACTTCTCGATATTGCAGCCGTCGCTCATCGTCGCTCAAAAGCTGACTTTCGCTTCGGGCAACCGGAGCTTAGCCCCCTCAAAAGGATTTGTTCAAGGAGCTCATGTCAGGTTTTCGTACGTTTGGTTTTCAACAAGCAGCACCTTTGACTAGTTTGCTAAGTTGATTGGCCACCTGGCCGTCGTAGCGTCCTGATCCACCTGGAGCCTTACCAAAGGCATTCCTTTTTGGAGAACGCAATCAAACAAACAGGAGGGTGACTCGGTGACCCTCCTCATGGATGCTGACCCCTGATGAATAAACGCACTAGTGGCTCCTCTCAGCAGTTCCCTTGGACGAACAACAATCCCAGTAATTGTACAGAGTCTCCGCTGGGAGGGGTTCATCAGAGTGGCTTGCAAAAAAAAACAATGCATCTGGATTTGTCCCAGAATGAAGGGATCTGCAAGATGTGTACCCGTGTACTTGCGGTTTCCCTTTTTTAAAGCTTCTCACTCGTTGCTTTCCTTTTAACGCGTCTCACAAGATGAGGAAGCCCCCTTTAGAGCTTGTCACTAAATGAGGGAACCCGCAAGATTGTTGCTTTCCCTTGTAGAGCAACTCTCCAACATGCCCAACCCCAAAAAGGCCAAGCCCCAACTATGCGGGGCCGTTCTGCTCAGGCCTTACTGCTGGGCCTCTACTTGCGGGGCCCTCGTTTCTCATCGATTGCAAAACGGAGACCTTAAAGCGGAGACCTGCTTACCCGGTTTGGGTTTCCAGACCCCACAAAGGAGATGCGTCCATTTGGTTAAGAATATGCGCCATTTTCCCTTGTTGGTTTTAACGGGGATCTATCACTACTGGAAGGTTTTTTTCCACGGCGGCTTAACCAAACGGAAGGATGGCTATTTGCATTTTTCCCCACAGCCGCCATTCACCAGTTTTTGAGGGTATCACAAACATGGCTACCGATTTGGGGAGGCTCCTGATTTAGAGACACCCCATGTAAGACCCCTTGAGGTCTACCGCCACGGAGGTGCCGTTTTTGTGGGGAACTCCTGAGGGGCGCTTTTCGGGGTTCGGGAAACGCAGCAGAACAAGACTTCCCCAAGAATAGGCGTCCCTAGTTTGAGGGCATGTTCTAAGTCAATTATTCCGAGCGAATGAAAGCAACATGACTCCTCAGACAACCAATGAAGGATCCTTTAGTATAGTGATTCGTTGTGTCACGGTGGCAAGTGTGTCGGAAACTGTCTGCCCAGTGACACACATCAAATCCTTGGCATCTGCCAACTTTAAGATATGTTTTTTCATGGACCCTTTGGTGGACCTCAAGTTTAGGTGGGGGTCCTTCAACATAAACTCGATTCAGAGGTCTGGGAAACCTTCAGCTTCCCCTCGCGAGGGGACTTCCTTGGGCTCGACTCTGCCTTCGCTTGCAAAGGGGCTGGATGGGTTCCATGTGTGGAGCCCCTATGTAGATGTGAGAGTCGTCCGCGAAAGGTCCTTGCATTGAGCTATGAAGGGGAAGGCCTTTTGGTCTTAGCGTTGACCTCCGCGAAAGTTCCGCGGAGGTCGCGAAAGAATGCCCGACTAAAGTTGGTCGGAGAATGCGCAGCCTGAGGGGCACCGCAAGACACGCCGCAAAAGCAACGCCCAGCCAGCAGAAGCCAGCTTCTGGGAGTTTCGACTTTCGACCTGAGAAAATTACTAAGAGCTTCTAAAATAGCCCCGCGAAAGTTCCGCGATGGGGTCCGTGAAAGTTAGGTTTTTCTCGCGAAGATGGCGGTTTCCGGAACAAGGAATTTCAGACAACCGTCATGTGAACTTTTCGAGGTAGAGGTTGGTCTTGGTTGTTTGGGGGGAAGGGACCGAATAGACTCGATCTATTTTACGCCGGCGCGCCATCTCAGTTTTGCCCGCTGAAGGCCTTTACGCAGCGAGGCCGGAGCCGAGCACCTTAGAGCTGAAAACTTGTGAGCCGCCCGCCTGGTCAATCTGGCGGCTGGCGATGTTCTCAAATTGTGCCGCGGTCAGCAGACGGTCCCTCTGTTACTTGGGGTTGGTAAGGGGAGATTCAACGTCGTATGAGGGACGTTTGACTACGTACCGCGTACTAGCACGGGCCCATGACCGTGACAATAAAAGGAGTTTTGACCGCTCAAGCGTGAAGCGGTCTTATCCAATCCGACTCCTAACTTCAAAAGAGGAGCCAAACATGCTGAAATTAATTCCGGAGACGGCCTGCTTCTATAGGAGATGGGATGCGCATTGAAATCTCAATGTCCTTATTTCCCGATGTTAAGTCAATTGGAATAGTTAGGTTTTGTCCAAGGGAACCGCTCACCAAAGAGGGTTCCTGCTCGTTTTGCACAGGAACTGGCTACGCTCCGTAACATTTCTCTGTGACCAAGGTGGTGCTGCTTCATTGTCATTGGCGACCCTCACCCGAATCGCAATTGTCAGCAAGCAAGACCGATTCGGGTAACAGGTGGGGAGGTTGCCCAACCATCGGATATTCGCCGGTTGACTTCTTTGCATGAAGGCTCCTTGCTTGAACCCAGAAAAGGAGTCTCCCGAAAGGAATGCCAGACGAAGTGTTTCTTGGGTGGGTCCATGTTAAAACAGGAACATAAGTCTGGAATTCCCCAAAGGGCACCTGTCCCTTTGGCAATAATAAGAATGATTGCACGAATTACAAGGATAAGCTGCAATTCCAAAAGGGAAGCCATCGACCCCCCCCCCAGTTAACCCCCAGTTGATCCATGTAAATCCCCCTGTAAACTCCAATAAGTAGGGCTTCACAGCATTTAGCTCGCCCCCTTACCATCCAAGGAGCGTCCCCTTGCCAGCAGTGTGCCGCATGCCTTGTTCGCGTTGTTGTTAGACTCGTTTTGGAGCGGGTAGCCTTCCTGGAGTCTCCTGCCAAAGTTATTTACATATTAGGGTAGACTAAATATGGACCATCTGAAGATTGACGTTGCACGTAGTTTGGGTCAAGTTTCAGGAACCATGGTCGGTGGTTAGCCCTTTGAAAGAAAAACGGTACCGTACAGAGGCGCATTCCTGACGCCCATGTGCATGCTGACTCGGCAAAAGAGTGTTTCAGCACGGCAGCAGGGTGTGGGGAGATGTGTCTTTCGCACGGCCGTCCACCTAAAGTTTGACGGGATTTATTACAAAAGCTCCTGGAAAGGATATGCTGCCCGAGAGTTTGCCTGAGACGGCTGGGAACATGTTGTCAGGTGTTCTTTCCCCTCCTTGTGCTGTGCCAGCTATTTGGCTCTTTGGTTCTCATGCGGCTAAGAACCACAAGTTCGACATAGGGGCTGAGCGTTCCACATGCAGCGGTGAAACCGGATCAGGCGCCAACGAGCGCAAGGATCGCAGGACGTCGCCTCAGATACCTTGGAGCTTGGGATGTCCATGAAGCGGGAGCGCTGGAAGACCCGCCCGAAAGCCTCTTGGGGGGAAGCTGAGGTTGCCAAGTTCGGTGATACCATGGGGAAGCTCCTAAATTGTTGAAGTTGCCATGGGGGGGCTGGACGTTCCATGTATAGGGGGGACGTTTTCTACGAGCCTGAGGACCACTGCGGGAAGAGGTCCAAAAGAGACCGAAGCCGGAAGAAGCCAGCACCTTTTCAGCATTCAGCGACTGGATTCTGCCACACCTAACCGTCCCAACCATGGCCTGGGGATCCCATCAACTCAACACTGAATGCCCCATCAAACCAAGCGAGCCCGGGACGGCAACTGGTTTAGTCACTTGTGTTGAAGATTGCTTTGGTATCCATTGTGTGCTGGCCTCACTCTACACTTGCCAGGTTCACTGTGAAGAGTCTTCAGCAGTTGCCAACATGGAAGCAACATAATATCCCTGTCAATGGCCAACCCCATTTGCTGAAGCGGTGGTGTGCATTACATAGTTTCATTTGTTTTGGTGCTAGAGTGTGTAGTGGCTGGTCATTTTTTGACCTTTTCTTGGCAGCACCAAAACCGCAGCGCGTTTCACGACTACGGAAGCGCACAGGGAAACTGTGTAGTGGCTGGTAATTTGTTGACCTTTGCTTGGCAACACCACAACCGCAACAAGTGTCACGACTACGGGAGCGCCTCAACTAGGGAACATATGTAAGTGGATATGTTTGTCCAGGGGTTATCTTGGGTTGCAGATATTTTACCTAAATATTGTATGACTAGTAAACGAACATTGTCGGCCAGGACCTTACATCTTTGTATATCTTTGGGTTCCCCAAATATGAACCGGACTTTTCAAAAATGGGTCATGTCTAGTACCAAAAGCTGAGGTCAAGCTTGAGGTTCTGAGCCGGATAGTCCAAAGTTTCGGACCCGGACAGCTTGGAACCTTCTTCGCCAACGTGGAGTCCGGGAACTTCCCCATTCTGTCCAGGGATCCGAGTCTTTCTTTAAAAAAAAAAAAGAAAACCTGGGAAACAGCCATGGGTTTTTGAAAAGAACGATGGCTGAAAAGAATGGTTGGAATCAACCCCTAGATTTGTCCATCCCCTTGGCTTCTTTGCCTTCTAGTGTTTAATGGTAGTTTCCATTCAACCCACTAAGAGTTGCGGGGGATCTGAGGGCAGCCCAGTTTTGACAGCATTCAACAGTTTGTGAGCGCCTCAACCCACTGCAACCGCTTCGAGGACCCGAGCCGGAGGTCCAAAAGCGACCAGAGCCGGAAGAAGTCAGCGCCTCTTCGGCATTTGCGGGGATTCTCAACTCGGAAAGTAAAGGATGAACGGGGGTCCGATCTCCACAAGGAGACTCTCTCCTGTGGGTTGCATATGAATCAGGAGAGTATGTGAATAAACAATGCTGACGCGAGTGAGCCAATATCAACTCGAACTTTTGGGGGAGGGCCAATCTGGCTGAAAACCTAAGGCCTATGCCTATTCTGCCAGCGTCCATGTTGGGCAACATGTGTGGTTCGGTCAAAATGTCCAGTAGTCTATGCGTACTTTGGGATTCGGCAGACGGAGAGCTCTCTGAATGTCGAATAAAACCAAGCTAAATGTCCACAATCAACTGGGCAAAAGCTGCTTCTCCCATATCCATGATGGGGTACTTTGCGCTGCTCCGGCAGTTGCCGACATAGAAGTCAAGAATCCCTATCAACGGGGAATATCATCATCCTTTTGCTTCAGCTTCATGAGAGGTATCTCTTTTGTGAATCCCGGCTTGATTTGACACAGACAATGTGCCCTCCGCACAAATTGCAATGTCTGCTTTTGTAAACACAGTGTAACCTGTAGAGTTGCTTGTTTGAGAAATGGCTCAAAAAATCCTGGCTGGTACCAGAATCTGATTGAACCCCTCCTCGTACAGGTTGACACTGGTTTGTAGGGGACAGTCCCAACCCACGATATTCAATCCGATATTCCTAGTTTGTTGATGGCACCAAAAAGCACATGAGTTTAGTGCTGGTCTATTGCGGATGTGTTTCAACTGATTTGTTTGTCTTTTATTGCCCTCCTATCCATGGAACCCACCCTCCCGGACCCTTTTTCCACCGCCTGTGAGATTGTAGGAAGTGCAGCCGTAAAGGAAAGATGGGTGTGTCTTTTTCGGGGAAGCCCAGAAGAGTGGGGTTCCTCTTGGTGTTCCTTTCAACAAGCCTGAAAAGGACCTGTCTAGACTATACATTTTTCATTTTACCGGTGACTCAAAGTGAAGCCAGCAATAAAATATAGGTTCTATAACTGGGCCTAACTCTATTCACGAGGACTTGGAAAAAGAACCCTTACTGTAAAAAGAATAACTTTAAACAAGCCTAAAAAAGGGGGAAGAAACTGATCAAGCGAATCTGCCTAGGGCCGCATGGAGTGCTCATCTGAGGCCCTGCAGTTCCTCGGCGCATCACGGGCCAGGTTTGCCTCAGGGCCACTTCCAACTCTTGCGGCTGGTTGCGTTTTTTTTTTGTGTTTAAACATATTATTTATCCGGGTATGTGGGCGAGTGATGGCTACCTGGCAAAGGGGCATTTGCGACAAAGTCAGCCCAAAAATGGGTTTCTTTCACCGGGAGCTTGATTTGGTTTGGGGGCGCAACCCATTCTAGAAGGGCTCCTGATCACTCTGTCGGGGAAGCACCTTGCAGAATCCGGCAGGGTCTGCGTAGATCCCTTTGATCGGGGCAAGACAATGGTGAGCCCTGGGTTAGCAGGTCCCTCCGTGCCGGCGAGTTGTTCGGGAGATCAAAAAGAAGCTGACCCGGGCGACCGGACGCAAACCATTTGCTTAAGAATATGTTTTTTGGTGAAATTGTCCCTTGTTGGCTTTAAAGGGAGTCTATCACCAGTGGAAGTATTGTTATTATTCTGAGGGGCGAACAAGCAAGAGGAAGAATGTGGATTCCTGGGCTTCCTTCTGACTCGGCGCGGCTTTTGCCAGAGAGGTGCTTGTTCTTTGGCTTGAAGACTCGCAACCAATGTGGGAAGGCCTGCAAAGCAGGAGGGAAGGTTTGGGGAGCAAGACTTGGCGATGACCTAACCTGCGAAATCTGACCCCTCTTCTCAGTTGCCCAATGACCTTTTGACCTTTTGGTTTTCTGTTGGTCCATAGGCAAGGTCGCAAAAGGTGAACCTATCTTTTCCCATCCCTTTGGGCAAGTAAGTCTTCGCTTCCGATCCTCGGCTGTTTGACCCTGGAGCGCTCTTTGCGCAAAAAGTCAGTCCGATCAACTTTGGGCGACCTTCGGCATCAGACACTTTCCATCAAATGTGCATATTTGCACAACAAAAGCTCAGCTGTTTCCATAGGCGCCAATTCCCGACCCCTTCCCTCTTTTGGAAGCATCGACTTGCAGTTTCGTGGGCAAAGCCTTGGTCGTTTTTGGTGTCACCCTCCTTCTGGCTCGGGGAATTACCGGTTTTTTTTTCCATAGACCAGCCAAAAACATTTAGCTGGTTGCAGGGGTTTAAGACTACTTGGGTATGGGTCAAAATGTAACCACCAGGGGACCACTGGTTTTAGTCATTGTTTCCATTTGCCAGGGTGCCATTTTGGGTACCTATTATTGACCCACAGCCACTTGCCTATGGCTGCGCGTATGGAAAGGATGTTCATTGCTCCGCGCAAGGAACCAGACTTCGTCTTCGTGCGGCACCCAGGTTCAGCGGTGACGCACCAGCGACGGCCAAAAAAACTCCTTCTGGACCTCCCCACAAGAAACCCTGTCTAGACTTAGGAATCATTTTACATTTTGCCAGTGACTCAAAGTGAAGCAAACAATGAAATAAACATTTATAACTGGGCCGAGCTCTAATCATGAAACAGTCAAAGCCCAAAATGGTCCTGGTTGCGCAACCGGGATACCTCAACCAAGCCTTCGCCCCCTCAATCCTCCCAGGCACATCCTAAAACATCTGGTGACACTTTCACTCCCAAATCTAAACCAACCCACACCCAGGACCCAAGCCTTTTTGGCGGCATGGTCAAGACGTCGGCCATTCAGCCCAGACCTCAGTTGGCCTTCCTCCACTTGCGCCATGCGCAAGTTGCAGAAACCAGTGGCTGCGCAGAGCGACGTGGGGAGTGACTCGACCCGAAGCTGTCAGAAGCCCTTGGCATGCCAATGGACTCCTCGAGGAGCCTTCCGTTGTTTGGTGAAACGCTGCGCGTGTTGCAACGCACCAGAAGATCCAGCGTGACGTCTGCGAAGCTTGAAGCCCCTCCCCCGCCAAATGATTAGATGGCAACATAGGTGGAGATGGAGGTTCCATTCAAGGCAAAAACAAGAGCGACGCACTGGCTCTGGTTGAGTGAAATGAGACGTTTGGGCCATCGTGCGGGTCTGTTCGTCGCAGCCCTGACGTGAAACGGGGATGCTTGGTTTTGCGGGCTAATTCTTTATCAACCCTTACCAAGGTGAGGGAGGTTAACTGGGGCTTATGGGGGGAGGTTGCCTCGACCATTCAAGTACCCCGCCCGGATTTCCATCAGGAACCGTTGACCCAGATCCATAGGTCGCTTAGACCTCGCTGGAGTGAGGTCTTTGCACCCTTCGGTGGCCGTGGATACCAAAGTTCTGCGGGACCTGACCAATGACTGGGGCAACTTCCTGGAGGAGAACCCCAGCTTCCAGCAGGAGCGATCCGAGTCGATGTCCGCCGTGCAGCTATTGAGAGGCCCATCCTCCAAGTAGGTGAGGGCCCCTTCCACCGTTTAGAGCCAACATGCGCTTCCGTGTTTTAGCCACGCGGTGGCAACTCCTTCACTTAATTTCAGAAAGAAGCGCGACGAGGCAAGGGCACTTCTTTGCGGTTTGGGCTCTCTAAAATCTGGGGGCAAAGGGTCCAATGAAAACAGGCATTCGGAATAGCCTGATTCTTGAACAACCCGTTTGTTGGCAAACTATGTCATAGGTAGGGGTAGCCTTGCACGTGCCGGTTTCAACCATCTGCAAAGACTACAACAATCACTTCTAAAGCTTCAATCAAGGATGCCTTGTGAAAAAGTTTCTGCATCACAGGGGAGCTCGGTTGCCCCTCCCCTCGGAGGAACCCTGGTCTTGTCAAGTTGTCATAGTTCCCATTCTGACCTACCGGGACTCAATTCTCTCGGTGGTCCTTCACCTTTGAGGCCGCTTAAGGTCATGCACCCGTTTCTCGTTGGACTGGACGCCTTGAAAATAGCATTGCTTTCTTTTCACTTTGGTTTTTGCTTGGGTCTCCTTTCGGCTTGCTTACATGCCTTTTTCTCGTTGCCAACGAGAATCCAAGGGAAGCCCAGCTGTTTGATCCTTCGCTTCGGGCTTGTGTTTGGATCGCCTTTGGCTGGGTTAGGGAAACCGAAGCCCATTCAATGATCGAAGCCCTGAACACGCGGCCTAAACTGGTTGTTCTAAATAGGCTGCTCGAACCAAGGAGCGTGCATGGACGTATGCGAAAGTTGCGCCTTGAACGCCAAGCAGTCTTCCACCTTTTCTGAACAAAGAGCAATGGCAAGACCTCCCAAATGAACCTTGCATTCTCCCAAACGAACCTTCTTTGCGGCCTGATTCGCACCGAGTGAGTGATTTAAAGAATCTCAGACTTGTGAGGGAAACTGGAATAGACCTTTGGATGCTAGGATGAATCCACAAACAAGGGGGTGAAGTAGCATCATTCTGGAGATGCGGGAGCGCCATAAGCGGAATTTCACGCCCTTAAAAGTTTTAACTTAAAAGTGATAAAGGGTAAAAAGGGGCCTGTCTGGGGGGGGCCCTAACGTCTGTCCCTTCCAGCGGCCAAAGTTTGCAAGAACAACTCCCTACTTGCAGTTTCGGCCAATGCGGCACGTGGTAGGCCACTTGGGTTATCATTAATCATTTACCAACATGAACTCCACTGAGGCGGACCTATGGGACTCAAATAGTATCTTGGCCGAACACCCAAATAAGGCCCTCACTCCGAGCGTGTCCCTGCAGCCAGGTCTACCGATTAGGGCGCCTCACTGTGACCCAGGGCGCTTCCAGGACTGATTGGTGCGATGCGCGCTGGCGGCGTGGTGTGGTCAAAAATCCAACTTAGGGCTACCTTCCATTGCCATAGACATCCTCACTGAATTCATGGACTTTGTCGTGTTGGGAAGACCTGTTTGGTGGTAGACAAACAGACTGCACTTGCTGTCATGTTGTTTGCGTAAATCATAGCAACCTCACGAATGTCTTGGTACGCGACCTCATGAGTGGGGGCGCTGGATGATGTCCAGTTCAGGGCGGGGATATGAACCACAATCAAATATGAATAGCTTAATAAGGACGGTCCCCTGCATAGATGTTTGCAGCGTGTCCAGTTGATTCTTTACATGCCTGGTGTTGATTATGACTCAAATGGCCAGCCAAGCAAGGGACATGCATCGACGGATGAGTCAGACGGTCAGTCAGGCAAGATGGCAAACAAGCAGTCAGCCAGCCACTCAGTCACGCAAGCAATTAAGCAATCACATTGTCAATAAATCACCCATTGATTCCAGCGATCGAACACTCCAGCGCGAGAGCAGGCAGCAAGCAGGTAGCCAAGGAATCAACCACTCAGACACTCAGTCAGTCAATAATTTAATCGCTCAGGCACTCTGTCGCTCAGCCAAGCAAGCAATAAAGCGACCAAGTACTCCAGCAATTCGAGCAACCCATTTGGCAAGCTCTTGGCAAGTCGCGGGATCGCTACTGGACCTGATTCCAGGAAATGGGCATGAGAGTTTTTGCTGGGGATCCAGGGGCACGAGTCACATTCGGTTCCCCCCATGAGTTTGGTGAAGTTTGCCATTCGCGCCAGGCCCCTGTTCATTTCGGTGAACATTACACTGACCAACACGGGCCCAAGCGCCTGGCGCGCTTCCCAGACCCACCGAGATCTCGTTTTATCGATCGGATTCACTGCAGCACAGTCTCAGGGCCTGCACCATTGGTACGAAACCCAAGGGACCTCGTGCTCATGTTGGAGAATGATCCCCCAGTAGTGCCCTTTTGCCGTTTCCTTTTTGGGGGAGGGTTCCCCTACTAAAATAGACTACAGAAAAAGCCTTATTCTAACCTCTCTAGTGGAGGACCTAGATGATGTTTGTGATTGTCTAGCTTCTTATACTGAGTAGCCGAGGGGCTTACGAGGCTGTCTGTGGTCAATGCACAAGTGGCAATGCGAGAGTTGGAATGATGGTCGTAAATTCTTTGAGCAGGGCAATGGGTAGAGCTGCCACTCTGAGACGCCTTTCTGCAAATGTACTTGCGAAGTGGCAATATTATTGGCTTGTTTGGATCTTGAGGAAGGAAAGGTTCCCCGTAGCGGTTTTTTTTTGGGGGGGGGACTCTGTGGTCCATTGTTTTTTGTAGCACGAAGTTTAATCATTCAAATTCATCGCAATATGGGTTTGTCTTGTTGTTTGGGTGACACCCAAAATGGTGGCTTTCCTGTTGGTGTGTGTGTGTGTGTGTTTTTTTAATCTACCCCAAAACGGGTAGCCTCCAAAAGACAAATCCATATGTCCAAAGGCTAGTCTTTGCGTTCCGACCTTCGCGACTTCCGTCGCGTTTTCCTTGGCAACACGGGCCTCAGGAAAACAAGATATGTGTCAAAAATGTGTGGCTCGGATTTGCCTCCATCGGATTGTGGGAAACCATGAAAAGGAACACCAAATGTTGTCCCCTAAAAAGGACACGCGGGGGAATGCCACCCTGAAAACAACACATCATTTGGAATCTTCTGCCTTCTGCCAAGCTACTGCAAGATGTGGAGCATGTTACTGGCAAGTGGAAGGCTCCAAGGGCCAAGGAGTATCCTAAAATTGGAATTGGACGCCTTTAGGCTACAAATTGAGGGAGGGCGGTTGTGCATCACGTGTCACAGGATTGGCTTGCCCAGCTTCATCTGCGCTCTAAAAAGGGAGCTTGAAGCCATAAGCCCCCTGATATTTTGAGTGGGTTTAAGCCATGAGATGCATCCATGGCCGGCCTTTGAGTCGGACCTTTTGGAAGCAAACCTCTCCATACCTAAGCTCGACGACCAATTTCCTCGGGCGGAAGGAGCAATGGATTGAAAGAGGAGCTGACTGCGCAAAAAGAAACCATGTCCAAAAGGCAAGTCTTGGAAGCTTTGTATTGAGAAACTCACTGGAGCTACTGGACTTCAGGCACTTGTTGCTTACCCTTCTCAAGTTCCTCTGGTTGCTTGGGTCTGGACCATTTGAGTCAACGAAAGGTTCGTTTCTTTTTCTGGACCAAAGGCGATTGTTTCGCCACATGCGAGAAAAGGAGCGAGGGGCCCATGTCTCTGCAAAGCATACAAGAAAGAAGTGGGTTCCCGCAAGCGAGAGCTTACTTGGTACCAGGCTCGCCAAGTGAAGATGCTCACGTGCTGTGAACATGTATGTGATAGGGGATGGATGGAGAATGGCAAAACAACTTTCATCACTTTGCAAGATTTTCAAATATGGGCGTTGCCCTACGTCCCAAACAAGCGCAAATCGACATGACCTTGCCAACCAAAAGGGGGGCCCGAATTTTGAGAGACGCACCACTATGTTTCAAATGTTGCATGTTTTCTTAGAAGGCAAAAACTCGGGCAACCCAAATACTGGTTGCAACCCCCATTGCCAAAACATCAGACACAAGGCCCCCCCCCTGTGTTTTTTTTCCACAGGCCCGCGCGAAGCTGCCTGCAGCTGGCGCACGGACTCGACCTGGGTGCCCCCAACGCGGACTTGGGCAAAGCTCCTCGGCATAGCCATGGTTGTCGTTGGGAAACATTTTGCATTTTTGCTTATTGTGGTTTAGTGTGAAATCCCCACTTAACTGCTGACAAAGCTGCAATCAGACGCTTGACCCATGTGGCTTCAACACCGTCCGTAAAACATACACGGCGATGTCATCATCCCCCGTGCCCAGTCTTTCCACCGGTAGGCTAAAACAAGTGGATCCGACGTGAGGATTTCACACCTTAAACCCCCAAAACCCAAGACCCCTCCATTTGAATGTAATAGTTATGTTTCAAGCATATTAACACTCATGGAAGTCATCAACGGATTTTCCATTCAGCCTCTGAAAAGTCCATTCCAAGAGCAATGCAGCCCATTGTGGCTTCCGGTGGGAAGGCCTGCCAGTTTTCTCGACCCACCCTGCCGTGTTCCCCAGCTTTCAGTCAGACAAGGTGACCGAGCCCGGAGCTGATCGCAAAATCTCAATGCACCTGCGGATCCCGGCCCAGGAGCAGGCGGGGCATCCTGAGTCAATCCCGGAATCATGTTTGGGGAGTCCCCTAAAACTCGGTCGCGCTTAGAGATGGGTTTGAGGTTGCTGCTTTCTGTCATCATTGCCGAGGGACCCTGAGTGATAAACCAGTCATGGGAATCCCCACTCTGGTATCACAGAAAGGATTAGTTCCACAACCATGGTTTGATATGCTGGCTCTCCTGCCAGCCATTGTTCTTCATCCCGTGTTTTGCATGGACAGATTGGCATGAGAGCCAGCCCCGAGCACCACGTTTCCAGTTGCATTTCTTTTGCATGGCCGCTGTGTAAGCAAACGCTGGCAGAGTCTGGCATAGCGCTCGCGAGTGCTGTTTTAGACAGTGCTCCCTTTAGCTCCCTTCTTGGCTGCTGGTTTTGGACATTCACGTTGAAGCCAATGTCCTGCAGACGTGATGCTTAAAGGGGCAGTTCGGAGCCTCGGAGTCTGGTCAAGATGAAGGACACCTCCCGCCTCGCCAAGCCATAGGCTTTGTTTGTTCCTGCTTGCTGCCTTGGTCCACAACTTGAAATGCGCTATTGGAGTGAAGGGCCTGGATGGGTCTGTGGTTTTTGGAGGGTGCCCTGTTGTTGTTTTAAAGGGACACCAAAAGGGGGGTCCCCTCAAAAGCGACACGCCTGGATAAGGTTGAGATCAGGCGGTCTTGATCCTGTGAACCCTGGCAATCCTGGGGCTGGCCAGGCTGAGACTTTGTTGCAGTCCCGAGAATCAAACAGCGGCGTACAACTGTGCCACAGTGGAATTTCTTCTGGGAATGGGGGGTTGGACTTTGACTCCAAAATGGTGGGACCAACTCACCTTTGGGGGCCATGGTAACCTTTGATTCGGACTTCTCAGCCCCAGAACTTGGTGTGACAAGTGCAGAAGCCATGCAGGCGGACTCTCCGACCTGCATTTGGGCGCTGAGCGTGGATGGCAACGTCTTCGGGGTGCTTTTGATCTTGGCTCCTCGGAAAGAAATCGTCTGGTTTAAGGATCCGCACTTCCTGAGTACAGAACCCTGTAGAAAAAAGGGCCGTTTTGCACTTCCATGTTAGTTGGTGGGAGGGTATTGTTTTACTTCATTTGGAAAACCGTGGTCCCAGGGAAACCCATTTAGTTCAGGTCCCGGAAGCAATGCTGGGGGCTTCATTCTCCCAATATCTTTTGAGCTCCTGGGCTGCATTCACTTTTGAGTCTGGACCGTTTTGGTGGCAAGCAACAAGCTTGGACTTGGTCCAATCCGGAAGTGAGTCCTCGAGGAGGGATGGAAAGGGAGAACATCCGGTCAAGACATCCTTGAGCCGTCCCCCCTGATCAAAGCCTCGGAGGCAACCAAGGCAAAGGGTTGATTCGGGCAAGGGTTGAATCCTGAGAGGCAGAACAGGTGAGGAACCAGAGGAACCGCCAGGAGAAAGGGATAGCCAACTCAGTTCTCAGCCCATCTTTTGGGGGGTTTCCCCCCGTTCGGCCCGTGTCGTGTTTGCTCGTTCGGTCCCCCAGAAGGTTCGAACCCCTTTTTTTTCCGGGTCCTTTTGGGCAGGTGAATAAACCCCTGCAAAAGAGTTGTTGGGCAACTATTGCAAGGGCACACAAAAAGAAGACCCATGACCTATGGCACATAGGCTGCAGCGGCGCGTATTGATTCCTCCATTTGTGTCTTTTTTGGTTACCCTGGGTTGGTTTTGAAGGGAAAGCATGGGAAACAACAAATGCACTAGTTTGGGCCCTACTTTGAGAGAAGCCCATTTTGCCTAGGACAATTCCCTGGAGCATCATTTTGACTGGCAGATACGTATGTTAGATGCACCCGCGCCTGAATGAATGAATCTGTGTCAGCCACCCGTTTTGCAAACCAGGATTTTCAGTCAAGCCCTTCCGGGCAAATGTCGGGGGCCCATAACAGGGCCCTGTCCTTCAAAGTCTGGTTTCTCAGTTGTTCAGTGGCACCCTTTTTCCGTTTTTTTGGTGGCTGCTCCACTAAAAATGGTTCTCGCAAAAAAGGGTTCCCTTTTTTTGCCAGGGCCACAACTGAAGTTTTAGACGTACAAAAAGGGAACGCGTGTTCCATGTTTGGCACAAAAAGGCCTGGCTTCTCCAAATGAAGCCATGACCTATGCTTAAATCAAGGGTTCATAGGGTTTGAGAGGAGCCAACAGACCCATGAAGTTTCGGTTTCACTCCCGGTGCCCTTTATGGAGCAAGCCGCGGCTGAGGAGTTGGACTGGATAGATAGCAGCGGTTACGGCTTGCTCACGGAGGCCTGTGCTGTCGAAGCGCTGACGTGTTCCTGTGCTGTCGAAGCGCTGGGCCGGTCCCATTGGGGAGGTTGGTTGAAGGATCAGCGATGCAGCGCACAGGGCAATTGCCTTGGCTTTTACCTGCATCATTCCCCAAGTAGGCAGCTTGGGTAGCTTGGGTGTTCGAGCCACTCAGTGATTGGGGGAGTGACATTTCTTTCTTTATGGCCTCTGGTTACCTCCTTCCCAAGCTGGTTTATACTTGTTGGGTCTGTTTTTTTCAAAGGCTACCCCTTGTTTGTGGTTTTTAACAGGAAACGGAAAGGAAAACCAATTTGGGTCAAAAGACCTCATTGGCCAAGTGAGTTGACAAGGGGCTCTTCATGAGTGAGTCTCCTTGTACGATTGAATCCCTGAAATTGGTTGCACCCTCAAAATGGGTCGGTGTTCCTTTTGGTTCCCCTAAACCAAGCAAAAGGTACCTTCAAAAAAGGCACGCCCCTCAGAGTTTCATCATGTTATGATGACTTTGTGCTCTCACCCTTTTCTGGTGCTTGGTTCTGGTATCCTGAGCCTTCCTATTTGATTGTGGGTCAAAACCAATGGTACCATGTTGGTTGGTAGGTGAATTCACCACCCATTTTAGGTTTCCTATTTTAGTGGTTGGATTGAATGGGATGTTCACTGGGGGCCCATGGCCATTTGAGGCATGAGCCTTCGGCCTTGCACCTCAGCACCTGTGAGGCGCTGGATGGGCTTCAGACGGCAAGGGCACAGGTCCATAGCGTGGAGCTGGTCCTGCAGGATGAGGCGAGAAGCGGGTCAGCTTGCCATGGCTTGCCCATTCTCCCTGTCTAGACTCATTTTACCAGTGACTGAAAGTGAAGCAAACAATAAAATATACATTCTATAACTGGGCCTAACTCAGTTGCGAAGTGGTTACTTGCTCTGTGTGCAGGGTTGCTTGCTCAGTTCCCCCCCCCTCCGGTTTGCAGGGCTGTCAGGCTTCAGAGCCGTCTCTAAAAGGTGATCATCGGGGCTTGGAACAGCCCTGCTCTTGGTTGGAAACAACTCACTGTAGAAGCCCTCTTTGAAGGAGGTCCAACTCGAAGTTCCCTATGGGAATGCTGCAGCAAGTCAACATTCACTGGCACCAGCAAAGAATCGCCTGGCTGTGGGCTGGATTTTATGTCAAAGGCACATTGCCCGCATTCACAAGCAAACTCACCTGACAACTTAAATGGGTGTGTCTGTGTGTGTCACTGACAATGGGGCCCAAATTGTGTGATGTTCCTGGTGGTGTCCCTTGAAGCCAACGTGTGCGCGCCTGCACATTTGGCTTGCGGGCAACGGCCCGCAACAGCGGGCGAGCGGTCTCCGCAGGCTTTGCAGCATGACCCCGCCAGAGCAGGCGATGTCACAGAGGACCGAAGATGGTCATGTGGCTGTGGGTCAACACCAATGGTACCATCTTGGGGTAGGTGCACCACCCATTTTAGTCTATTTTAGTGGGGATTGGGATGTTCACTGGGGCGTACGGGATCTTGACCCATGGCCATGTCATTCTGTGCTCTGCGCCTTGTTATCATTGTCATTGATACTGCCAGTAGAGCCGCCGAAGCCCGTGGGCGGAAATTTCCAAAAGTGAAATGAAGCTACTATAGTGTTATTTCTTACTGCCTTCCTTCCTTCCTTCCTTCCTTCCTTCCTTCCTTCCTTCCTTCCTTCCTTCCTTCCTTCCTTCCTTCCTTCCTTCCTTCCTTCCTTCCTTCCTTCCTTCCTTCCTTCCTTCCTTCCTGTCTTCCTGTCTTCCTGTCTTCCTTCCGTCCTTCCTTCCTTCCTTCCTTCCTTCCTTCCTTCCTTCCTTCCTTCCTTCCTTCCTTCCTTCCTTCCTTCCTTCCTTCCTTTCTTCCTTCCGTCCTTCCTTCCTTCCTTCCTTCCTTCCTTCCTTCCTTCCTTCCTTCCTTCCTTCCTTCCTTCCTTCCTTCCTTCCTTCCTTCCTTCCTTCCTTCCTTCCTTTTATTATTTTCTAGCTTTCTTTCTTTCTTTCGTTCTTTCTTTCTTTCTTTCTTTCTTTCTTTCTTTCTTTCTTTCTTTCTTTATGTCTTTCTTTCTTTATTTCTGTTTTTACATCTTGATCTACGTATCTATCTATCAATCTGGTTTAAGCTAATCTAATCTAATGTAATCTATCCGTCCATCCATCCATCCATCCATCCATCCATTCATCTATTCTTCTAAATGTCAAATCTATCTGTCTTTCTTTCTTTCGTTCTTTCTTTCCATCTAGTCTCTGTATCTGTCCATTTATCCATCCACTTTCTTTCCACATGTCTATCTGTCTATCTATGTATCTATGCTTGCGAAGTGCTGCGCCTTCCACGAACACTGTATTACTTGTGTTATGTTATGGCTACTGTTACTTCTTGTTGTGGTGTTTGCTGTTCCTGCTAATGTTTCTAGATGTTGCATGGTTGGTCTCGTCCTTGCTGATGTTGTTTTCCCACTCACTGGATTCGGTTCCTCACTGGAAAAGGCTCAAGAGGCTCACCCCTCAAGTGCCTGTGACCTTTGGCGCGCATGTCACAAGGGCAGCTCATGTTTTCCTTGGGTATCAGTCATTCCAACCTCTCGGGCACGAACATTTTGGAAGTACCTGCTTCGCAGGCTCAAAACGACTCTGCAGGATTCTGCAAAACAACTAGCTCTCACACAAGGTTTGGGCAGACACCTTCTTGGTGAATGCCTGACTTCCATCCTAGTCTCCAAATCCAAAGGAACCCTCCCTCAAACACACAGTCAGATTTGGCACACGCTGGTGACGGTCCCGTTTCTTTTCTGGAAAGCGACCAAACCTCCAAGGAAACCACAAAGGATTTTTGAGCACGGAGATAATACAGCGTGGGAAATCCACCCCTTCATGACCCGGCTCACACTGTGTGTTTTCCCGAAAGGAGTGGGCTGACGACCTGTCAAAGACAGGCGTGACGCAGGCACAGCTTTTGGTCGGGGTTTTGGTTGGTTTCCCGGCGGCTCAGAAGTGGTTGCAAATTTGGAACCAACTTTTGGTCCCCCTTCAAGGGACACCAAAATGATGGGGTTTAAAGAATAGTGGTTTAAACATGTTAACAGGGGCCGGGCCCAACCCTCGTTGATGTTGCTGAGAAGGCCATCCTCCTGACGCTGAGTTTGGAAACAAGCGGCTATTTTATCGGAGATGGAGAACCCTGGAAAACGATGAACATGAAGACCAATGCAAGTGTCCACCAAAGATACCTTTCATCATGCTGGTCCTCCAGGCAGAAAGGGTAGCTTACTAAGTCTAGTTGACCCTATCACGCCTAATGAACCTCGGTAGTCAAAGGTTTAAATCCTTGCCACCGCGTGCTTTAAGTCCTTGCCACCACAATGGCAATGACTTAATGAGGGCTCAGCATGGTTGCTGTCCTTGTGCTTTTAGCACCATTCTCGGGGCTGGTTCCCCATTCTTTCAACCATAGTTCTGATCGAAAACCGACCGTTTTCCCTGGGTTTTGGAGGTTCTAGAAAGAAGGATGCCTGGAAAGAAGGGGGGAGGTACCGTACCTTTAGCACCATGCGCAAAAAGCCAGGTGCTTCGGCTGGAGAGTTGGTTTGGGTTTCGGCCAGCCGCAGGCATACCGCCTGGGCAGCTTGATTGATGGGCTCTCAGTGCGTTGCTTGTGTCCACAGGTGTCCTTTTTGGTTGATTTTGTTGAAAAATAGAGGGCCCTGGTTTACCTGGTGGTTCAATCAACTACCAGGGCCATCTATTTTCCCAAAAAGGACACCTATGCTTGTGTCACTTGCGAGGATTTCCCTGCTAAATCTCGCTAAGGTGTGAGAAGAACAGCAGGGTGATAGCTGAGCAAGCCACATTGCCCAGAATCAACCATTGTGGATTCATAGTACACCAGAAGGTGGTGTAAATTCTTCTCTTTCCATTCCACATCCAGTTCTCCATGTCCTTGGAGCATTTGTCACCGGTCGGATTGTCGGAGTTCCAAGGTGGCCCCGCTGTCGGTGCCGGCGAAGTTGGCGGTGTCCTTTACCCTGCAGCGCCGCCGCCAAAATGGGAGAATGGCAAAGTCTTCGGGGGAGAATGGCGAAGTCTTCGGGAAAAATGGGAAACCTGGGGGAGAAATGGCGAAGCCAAATGCAAGCTTCTATTTGCTGAAATGCAGATGTGTGATTTTCCCCTTGGTTTTGAAGGAAGTCGATCACGACTGGCAGTGTGTTATTTTTCTTGGGGGGCAAAAGTGTCTCAAAATAGGAATCGCCTACCCAATTTCAAAAAGAAAGAACGAAACAATTGTAAGTTGTGCGAATCCTTGTTTGGCACCCAGTGAAAGTTGGCACCGCAGGAACTCCCCACATGCCCCCCAAACGGCCCACAACCGCACGCAGGTGATTGTGTCTTCGCTGAAAGCCTGCAAGCAATCCTGAGAATCACCGCCGCCTTTTCGAATCAGTAGATAGATTTACTCTGTGTTTCCCACGCCAGCACGGGCGCAAGCCGGTGGTTGGCGAGCCGGAAGTGTCAACGAAAGCGAACCGAGTTGAAAACCACTGGGCAACTGCCCAGGTTTGATTCAACTGGCGAGGCGCACGGTTGAAACCCACAAAAACTTGGGTTCGTCCAAAGGAAGGCGATGTGGGCGCAAACGAGGGGGCCCGAGGGGGTGGTGTTCACGGCTCGATAGATCCCAAGCCATGTTAGAAAGCATGGCTTTGGTTCCACGCGCTGCCTGACTCACGTGTTGGTTCCCAAAAAAAATGGAAACGGAAAGAGGCCATTGAAAGCACGGCACACTTCCGAGAAACACCCACTGTAGCCAACTACCTATAAAAGGCATCAAATTCAGAGGAGACCCAAAACAGGCATACCCATTTCGGTGCAAGAAAAGCAGCCCATGTTCCGTTTCGCCGGGACGCCAACATGGGATGGATTGGTATTTATGGTTTTAGATATCCAATTCAGCACCCATACCAGCTGTCACGTGGGAAATCAAAGGAGGAACGCCAGCTTTTTGAAGCCCCCAGCTTTTTGAGAGCGCGCCCCTCCAAACTTCGCGTAAGGTGCCGGTGTGGTGAAAGCCTCGATTGTTTTCACCCACCAAAGCCACTTCAGCGGAAATTGGGGGGGGGGAGGGGGATTTTCCCGGCTGGGTGGAAACCCTCGATTGATCGGAGTCAAATCAAATTCTGATTGGAAAGCTGGAGGCTCCCATCAACCACCAGCACGGTTTCTGTTCGAATCCAATACCGATCGCAAGCTCCGGGATTTTTCCGCTGGATATTCGGATCTTCGGAGAGTTTCTTCGCCCGTTGCACCAATTAGGGCCATGTAGGTTTGGTTCCTTCCTGGTTTCTCACATCAGTCCTACGCCTGCTTTTTCCGCCAGATCCAAAATTTTCCGCGTAGATGTGATGATACCAAAAGGCTTACCTCTTAAAAACACAAAACTTGTTCAACTTTTTGGGTTATATGTCTGTAAAAGATGAAAACTTCCCCAAGGCTTGGAGTTTTGAGGGGTAAGAAGGTGGTGATTTTGGATCCGAGGAACCTGGGGCAGGATGCCTGGCCCGAGGGCACGTCTCTGCGCCTGCTCAGCGGCAACGCCTTGGGCTTGGAGTCCCTGGACATCGACCAGGCGAACGAGTCGGATGGTGTCTCCCATCCCATTCGGTTCTGAAAGCTGTTTATCTCACTCCCTGAGTTCATGAACTTTAAACTTTTTGGTGGTAAACAGAAAGTTTGAACTTTTTTTGGCCCATCAACTCAGGAAGTAAGTTATTATTCTTTGTTGGGGTTTAGTGGGGGGGGGTCCATTTCACCCTCTCAAACCTCTCAAGGGAAACTTGCAGAATATGTCTGAGGACAGCCCGGTTTCCTACTTTGCGGTGGACGAGATGCGGGGTGCGGGGATGAAACCTGGCACGAAGTGTTTACCAAGCCAATCGGAACAATTTGAGGCCATGGCTATGATTTGGGATTGCGCCAAAGTGATCCCTGGATCCCCACTCAGTGATGCTAGCTTAGATCAAAATCAGGCAGTGCCATAAATAGGGAAAGTGATTTTTATTCAAACCCAACTTCCAATATTTGGCTATGAGCTTCGAAAACCCTTCGGTACATGTTCGCAAAGATGTCAATTCAAGTTCAGAACCATTTCGAAATCCGATTGAAGTGGGATGTTTCCAAACCAGTAGGCATTTGTGCCAAGACAGAACGACTTGGTGAGGATTTTCATTATGTTTGTCCAGGACGAAATATATTTGTCAACTTTTTCTGGCGAGTCACTGTTTCCATGCATTCAAAAGGAAGAGCGGACTCAAAGGCCCTAAAAGATTGCGGCGTTTTGAACCAAAAAATATATAAAATATTTGTCGGAATGGGCACCACAAAGCCTTTCTTTTCACAGGCCACTGATTTCCTGCCAGGTGGAGCCGGGGTGCGGCGCTGAGCAGTCGACTCGTGTGTTTCCCCCTAGACGAGTCAAGTCTTCCGTGTCTTCCGTGTCTTCCGTTTCTGGAGTTCTGATCCATGAGCGGCTCAACCTATGGCAACCCAAGTAACCCAAAACCCAAGCCCTGAGTTCATCAGAGGTTTCTTCCACGGCCTTTTCACCATTTGAACAGCATCTGTTTTTTTCAAGCAGCGAGTTTCTCAAAGAGAGGCGGTGTTTCTTTGGTTGGTTTTTCATGGAAACACCGAAAGAAAAGCCCACCCACACGCCAGTTTGGGAACCCAATATCCCCGGTGTCCCCGTCGCTTTTCCCGCCCGCGTGTGGCAGGTCCAGCGTGCCTTTGCAGCTGCAACTGGAAGTCCCGATCGCTTCTGCGCGGACCCCGAAGCGCGCGTCTCCGGTCAAGTTCTATGGGCCCTCGATGTGGTTGGCGTGTCTTTTGGGCTTTTTGTTCGAAGGGGGGTTCCCTTTCCCAGTTTCCCAGCGGTGCCCTTTTCCCCCTTGTTTTTGGAAAGGGTTCCCCTTGAAAGTCAACCAACCAAAAAAGAGATGACCTTTTTCTTCCCGTGGCCACTGGGCATCTGAGCTTTAGAAAAGCAACTGCCAGAAGAAGGATGTGCTTCTGGCGACGAGCCCTTCAACCTTCTGACGGAAATGCGCAACGTTTGGTTGGGGCCTAACAACCAAGACAGCGCAAGTGCAAGTGTAGCAACCCACTCCAGCCCCAGTGTATCCCTCGCTGATTGAGCCGTTGGACCGTGCAACCGCCCTTCCACCACGTCAGCATGAGATGTTTGCAATTTGCGGTTGCACAACTGTCGTCAGAGTGCGGCATGGGTTTGAACAACCAGACAGCGGTGCCCTTTAAAAGTGAGACCAAAAGGAGGTTGTTTAGACAAGGTGTGTGTGTGTGTGCGCGTGTGGATGCGTGGATGCGTGTGTGCGTGTGTGCGTGTGTGCGTGCGTGCGTGCGTGCGTGCGTGCGTGCGTGCGTGCGTGCGTGGGTGGGTGGGTGGGTGGGTGGGTGTGTGTGTGTGTGTGTGTGGGTGGGTGCGTGCGCGTGCCCGTGCGCGTGCGCGTGCGCGTGCGCGTGCGCGTGCGCGTGCGCGTGCGCGTGCGCGTGCGCGTGCGCGTGCGTGGTGCGTGGTGCGTGGTGCGTGGTGCGTGGTGCGTGTGTGGTGTGTGTGGTGTGTGTTGTGTGTGTGGTGTGTGTGGTGTGTGTGGTGTGTGTGGTGTGTGTGGTGTGTGTGGTGTGTGTGGTGTGTGTGGTGTGTGTGTGTGTGTGTGTGGTGTGTGTGTGTGTGTGTGGTGTGTGTTTGTGGGGTGTGTGTGTGTGTGGTGTGTGTGTGTGTGGTGTGTGTGGTGTGTGTGGTGTGTGTGGTGTGTGTGTGTGTGGTGTGCGTGTGGTGTGTGTGTGGTGTGTGTGTGTGGTGTGTGTGGTGTGTGTGTGGTGTGTGTGTGTGTGGTGTGTGTGTGTGGTGTGTGTGCTGTGTGTGGTGTGTGTGGTGTGTGTGGTGTGTGTGGTGTGTGTGTGTGTGTGGTGTGCGTGTGGTGTGTGTGTGGTGTGTGTGTGGTGTGTGTGTGTGGTGTGTGTGTGTGTGTGTGGTGTGTGTGTGTGTGGTGTGTGTGTGTGTGTGGTGTGTGTGTGTGTGGTGTGTGTGGTGTGTGTGGTGTGTGTGGTGTGTGTG